ATATATATATATATATATATATATATATATATAAATTACTTAATATTGTACTAATACGATACAGTGGAATGGAAACAGCTTTAGTTGAAATAAAAACAGCACTAATTGGAGAGGAAACAGTTAAAATTAGAACGGAAACATCCCTAGCTGGCCGTGCGCTCTAGCCACAGTTGCAGCAATAAAAAAATGTAAAAAAAAAACAGATAAAGGATCACCTGTGTTAGTTAGATGTATTGCGCGGGGAGGGGGGGGGGGTTCATGCCAGGTATAAAGAAAGACGAACTTTACTTTAGTTGCTTGCCAAGCGTTACACGGTTAGTCGGCGAGACGATATTACATGTGTAATATCTTGGTAATATGTCTCATCTTGCCACCAATTTTCTTCTCTATTCAATCTAAATAGTGCTAATCTAGTTAGAAATTCATTCCCTAGCTATGAGTAAATTGATCGTGGCGATGCCCAATTAAATCTAGAAAATATCTGCATTTCATTCCCGCCGGTTATTAATATTGGCATCATTTCGACAACAACAAAAGTTTACAACTTTATATATGTCGTGCCGTCTGGTAAACTATTAAGTGCCTATACCTGTCGATATCTAGGATAAATGCCTCTCGCTGCCCCGTGGTAAATATATACAGCTCCTACTCGGTTGTTTTCGTAAGGAGCTCCAATTGCTACATCTGCAAATATAAAGCTTAGAACTAGTATTGACTGTCGCTATTTCATGATAAGAAATATTCAAAATACCTAGAATTGCGCAGCTAGGTATTTTGGAAATTTTAGCTAAGTTAAACAATGTGTTAATATTATGTCTAATAAAGATAATAAAATGTCTGCGGTACCGGGATAGGTTAAATTACCTATCTGGATCTTTGCCTACTTATCTGCCTATCTACCTACCTGTCTACATATCTATTATCCTGCATGCCTGCCAGCCTATACTTGCTCGTCTGAATGTCTGCCTGCATGCCTGCCTGCTTATGCTTATGCTTATGCTTATGTTTATGCTTATGCTTACGTGCATGCCTGCTTATGCTTACGTGCATGCATGCCTGCCTATCTGCATTTTTGTCCGCCTACATGCATCCCTGGTTGCCTGGTTTCACGCATGTCTTCTCTCTTCCTGGCTTCTCCTCTCTCTATCTTTATATTTCCTTCTGTATGTCGCTGTGTCTCTGTACCTCTGTGTCTGTTTGTCTATTTGCCTGTCTCTCTGTCAGTCTATCTTTCTGTCTGTCTATCTGTCTGTGCGTCCGTCCGTCCACCCGTCCGTCCATCCATCCGTCTATCCATCTATCCACCTATAGTTATGTGACGCAATTATGATCCAAACTACGAATATTGGAATTAAGTAAGGATATGCATATGCATAACACTGACTTCACTTATTGTCTTCACTTATTCACGGCTTGTGTATTTGTGTATAATTTGTGAATAATTTGTGTATAAATTATACTGTCTATCTCAAAAACACCAAAATAATAATCTCCGCGAAAATTTCGTTTAATCGTAAAATCGTCGTTCATACGGGATAGCATTTGGTCCATTTCCATTATACATTGCTATTATCGAGAAATTAATACCACTATATCCATCCCTATTGATATCGCCGATGGTTGAAATTGCAGAACCAAATCTTGATCCCGGCTGATTTCCTCCCGATAATGGCTTGATGTGGCTGGAATATATGCCCTGAAATAACATTATAATCACGTTTTGCCAACGTTTACTCACTTCCTGTGTGCGCATGCGTGCGTTTGGGTGTGCGTGCGAGAGAAATGGCGGGATAGATAGATAGATGGGTGAGTGGATGGATAGATGTGTGTATGTATGTATGTAACATATATACAATGTATGTATGTATGTATGTATGTATGTATGTATGTATGTATGTATCCCTGCTGCGGCTTCAGTTACATACATACATACATACATACATACATACATACATACATACATACATACATACATACATACATACAGTGTTTGCTGGTTTAACAGCGCGCTGGTAACAGAGAGTATCGACGCGTGATCGCGTACGGTCGCCACGCAATCACGTGATTTATGCGGATAATAAAGCGCAATTTCGCAGAGATTTCCGCGGTTTTCCTAGAGAGAGAGTTGTTGGTCTCGTCGCGCTGTGCGTTCCCCGCTGCCGCTGCTGCCGCGGGGTCGGTCGTGACGGAATCGACGCTAGTAGGCTTTGTTAGAGCAGTACAGGGGTGTATGGTAGGTCGTGCGCGAGTACACTCACGCGTGCATGCATACACGCAGCGGGCGTGTGTACACGCGAGCGTGTATGTATATACACATGCATGCATGCATTACGTGCGTGAATACAGACGTGCGCATGTAACTGTAGAGGTGTTCCGCGTATGAGTACACACATGCATGCATGTGTGAGTACACTAAAGCCCTTTCTTATAATTTTGTACTATTATTATTACTATTATTATTATTATTACTATTATTATTATTATTATTATTATTATTATTATTATTACCATCATTGACATTTTTCTTGCATTATACATATTTTAGGAGTCATGGCGTTTATTATATTAGTGTCGATGTTGCTATATTTTAGAAAATAACCCAAATAAATTTTTTTCTGTAACATAATAATTATCATTCTTCTTCTTATTCTTTTTCTTCATCTTCTTCTTATTATTATTATTCATAATATTGTCATTAATCAGGAGTATACATTAACTGTGTATTTGCATCATTTTAACATTTTATTCCTGCTATTATTATTGCCGTCATGTCGACGGTCGTTACTACATCATGTACTTGACATGTTACATGTACTGATAGCTGGCTGATCGCTTTGCGCTCAACGCGTCAGCAATTGTGCCTGCTAGTGCGCATGCGCGTGGCCGGGGCGGCGGTACTCGGCAGTGTAATCAGACTGTGCTGCTTCTATAATCAGCGCCATCATGCGCTAAAGCTCCCACTTACATTATCACGTCGACGAATCACCAGCGCGGCTAAATATTTAAATTTGCGTTTAGGTTGACAGTAGTGTACGTGTGTGTGTTCGTCGCATAGTGATAGCGGCGTGTTTGTGTGATGGCTGCGTGCGTGCGTGCGTGCGTGCGTGCGTGAGTGAGTGCGTGCGTGCGTGCGTGCGTGCGTGCGTGAGTGAGTGTGTGCGTGCGTCAGTAAGAGCGTCATGCCTGCCTGCGTGAGTGAGTCGTGCGTGAGTGAGTGAGTGGAGTGCGTGCGTGCTGTGTGCATGCGTGATGTCGTGCGTGCGTGCGTGCATGCATGTATGTATGCTTGGTGTCTGATGTGTGGTATGCATGCATATTTGGTGGGCCCGTGGTGCGTGCGTGCGTGGCGTTGCGTGCGTGCGTGCGTGCGCGGAACAGGTTGGCAAGGCGTAACAGTTACGGCGTCGGCGCTTTCCAGCGACTGGTGTCGGCAATGCCGACGCCGCTGTCTGCTGGCGAGCGATGCAGGCTGCATGCTGCGCTGCATCCAGGCTGGCACTCGGGCGTCGCTAGATTCAGTTACTCACAAACAGCGCTAGCATATTTAGCACTCCGCTACCTTTGAAGAACGAGCTGTCTGTTTTTGCGTATGTGTGTAAAGACGTTCTGCTGGGTGCTGGCCGCACCGGCCATCTCCGTTCTCTGTCGCTCTCGAGTCTCTCTATCTCTCTCTTACATTTTTGATGTATTCCTCCGATGTTCTCTCTCCCCCTCTCTTCTCTCTCTCTCTTTCTCTCTCTCTCTATTAATATATATATATATATATTTATATATATATATATATTATGTATATATATTTATAATATATATATATATGTATATATTCCTTTCTATTTTCCTTCGCGTTCGGTACCTTTTCGCTCCTTAGATTAAATTAAATAAAATAAAACAAAAAAAAGAAACAAAAAAAAAAAAAAACTTAATAAATAAAACAATAAAAAAAGAACCCAAAAACAAAAACAACATTACACAAAAATCAACACCCACAAGACACCAACAACACAATCCACCACAAACCAACAAAAATAATAAAACTTAGACCCAAACACAATAACACCACACAAAACCCTTACACACGAAACAAACAAAAAATAACCAACACCCAAACACCTATAACAACAAACCCCCCAACGACACAACGACCGCAATTACCAACTAACACCCACAAAAACATTAACACCAAAACAACAACCAAAACAAACACCACAATCACAACACACCACCAACAACAACACCACACACCTACTCCCCGCACCAACCGAAGAAAAAAAAAACACGACCACACCTACCGAACAACCCCCAGCAACAACCACCACCAACAACACACACCCACTAAAAATAACCCAAAACCACATTAAAAACACCAAAAATACCCACAACCACAAACCACCCAACACCAAACACACAACCACAAAAAACACCACCCCCACATACAACCCACGAACCACCAACAACAACGTCGACAACACGTACAACACACAGCAACAAGTACAAACACCCCCAAAAACATAACAACCACCAATCCCCCACAACACCCACCACAAACACCCCACAACACACCATCTCCCTACAAAAACCCCCCCAACCACATACCCCAACACTAGAACACACCATAACCACACACACCACACCCACACAACCCCAAACACTTAACCCACCTCTAAACCACAACCCAACAAAAAACCAACCCACAAACACCAACCCCCACACATACACCAAAACACACTACACCAACCACAACAACACCCAATTTTAATAAAAAAACCCACACAGAAACCACACGAACAAACAATACACCACCCACCTACACAACCACAACAAATCCCACCCCGATCACACAAAAACACATACCAAACCACAAGCTACACACCACACCACACCACCCACACACAACCACACCTAAAAAACCCCCCAAAAAACACCACAAATCCCCAACACCACACCCAAAACAAACACAAAAACACCGCCCAAAAACACGAACCACACCAAACAACAAAACAGAACCAACAACCAACCCCAAAACACAAAAAACCCCCAACACACATACCCAAACACATTAAAAAAATTAACCACCATTAAAACACCACCCACCTAACACACACTTACCAAAAAACCGACATCAACACCAAAAAAACAAACCAAAAACAAAACCCATAATAAACACACAACACCCACCAATAACAAACCCTACATACTCCGCTCTCCCACGCCTCGACGCCTTCCCTCCCAACTCAAGTCCCAACCACCACCTACTCGCTAAACTAGGTCTCTCTCCCGCTGCTCTCTCTCTCGTGCGCTCGCCGCGTCTACTCGGTCACTGCAATAAAAGGAATATACTCTCTCCAAAACAAAAGTTACCATCTCTCTGAGCTTCAGTTCTCTCTCCCATCTCGTCTCTCCTGTTTACTTCTTATTCTAGGCTATTCGCTCGTCACTGTCTCAGCTGCTATAACTGCCTTACTCAGGCCCTAGGGCCATCATTCAGATTTGAAATCTTGTTTATTTAATCGTATGCTTATACGCTAGATTAAACATACTATCGCTCTAAGCGGGAACGCCGGTGGCGGAGGCGGCTTGACGTTGTCAGTTATTTATCAGCTTCAAGAAATTACCCGGGCTACAATAGAGTCCTTAATCCTCATT